ATTTGGTATTTTTGCCGCTCACTGGTAAACTATATATATACAATTCTAATGAAATTCGGTGGACGCAGCGCACTCAATCACCCTCACCGACCAAAACAACTTTTATTTATATATAGGTACGACTGAACTCGACTCCCCCCTTTAAAAAAAAAAAAAAGTATAAAAATAAAAAATACATTCCCATTATTAAATTTTTTATTATTATTATTATTATTATTATTACCGAACCAACACAACATTTTGGTTGATATTTACCGCTAAGGAATAAAAATAATAATAGCACATTTATTCTGGTCAGATTATCTGTAGATAAAACCGAACAAACGGATCTTACAGGATATTGCAGCTTAGCAGTTATATAATATAATTTGCGTTATAAACCTAATACCATCTACGTAAAGTTGTTATACTTCTACATTATTCGTTCATATAAACTATGTAATATTAATCATAATATTATATATATATAATTTATGTTACACACAATTATTACAGTATTTTCTGTAATACAATTATAATGTAACTATAATACAATATCTATCGCATAAATAATTATAAGATTAAAAGGTGTTTTTAAGTTGCTAACTTTTTATGTTTAATGACTGTAGGTYATAGATTTTATTCATTTTTAATAATTCGTACTCAGAAACGTATTTACGTATTGTCTTTGAAGTAGCTGAAGGGGTAATAGGCCATATGGGGCTAAATTAATTTAGGAAGCTTCAGCTGGCCAGTTCCTATGTAGGTATTAAAAAAATAAAATGTAGGTATTTAACAAATTTTACGCTYAGCAAATCTCGTTTATCTCCTTCAATTTAAAATTTAGAGTGAATTGACCTATTATAAAAATTAAAGGCAAGATTATTACCGAGGGCATCTCATAGGTTTTTTATTATATTTTAATTTTAAAGCGAATAATGAGTATTTTAAAATTTAAAATTATTTTGATATCTAAAAATACTCATAACTCGGTTTAAAATTAAAATATAATAAAAAGCCTATGAGATGCYYTYGGTWATAATMTTGCCTTTAATTTTTATAATAGGTCAATTCACTCTAAATTTTAAATTAACGGAGATAAACDTGATYTGCTGAGYGTAAAATTTGCTATGCTACGCACTTGTATGACGGAGAAAACACATGCGGGTGTGGCGTCCTCTTAATAAAAAATTGTATACATTATTTTATATGATATTTAGAATGTATGATCAAACTAGTGCCCAGTTGGCCAGTTGCRCACCTATAGTAACCCATCCACCCACCCACCCGTATTTTCCCTGAGGCAGTTGCCTCAAAAAATAGCTGTTCAGCACTGCTTGAAGTATTTCAGAACTTTCTAGTTTCGACAGTATTGAAAAAATTTTTACAGATATTTTAATCTCAAATCTGGATACAATAAGAATATTAGATATCCAAACGAAGAATCATGATTTAAGTTACGTATTTTATCATGGTTTTATGTTTGTACGTATGTAATTATTCACGCAATGACATTTTTAATTTTTATACCTAGCATAAAGATTTATTTTATGCTATTGACAATATTAATGCAATGAAAAAATTCACACCGTTCTTTAGCAAGGCGATATTAAGCAAAAAGTTAATAACAATGATATATATTATTATAATAATTATGGATTATCAATAAAATAAATGCAATGTTTTTGGCAAAAATAAATTCAACCTACCTTATCACTAAAAGTAAAATAAATTACTATGATTATGGTATAAAATATACTTATTTCATAAAATATACTATTAGTATAATATAGGCTGAGACTGCCACTACCAAGTTTTTGTACAGTCAAATATTTATTATTTATTTCAACATCAACTATTCAAATCATTCCTTTCGTATTAATCAATTGAATAAATAGTATTCATTGGAATATATTAATGATTATAGTAGATGTAATCCTTAATTAATGWTAATAATTGATTATCCTTATTCCTTATCATAGTCTATAGACTTATTTTTCTCAACGCCACGCGTAGATGATTTCAGGTAATGAAAATGTATTGTAATAAGTTATAAAATTGAGTATAAATAGATAACATGACCTGGTTAAATCTGAGGGCAACAAAAAATAATGTTATTGTATACACAACAGTTAAAAGATGTACGAAAACACATCTTATAAAATAAAATAMAATTTAATTAATTATTTAGGTACCTATATTATACATAAGATTATAGAATGATAATAAATATTAGAATAAAGCATAATAAGTAAAATTCTATAATACTATAAATTAAGATCCTATTACATATATTTATGTAAATTGTTAACTCAAATTTCCAATTTTATATTATTTATGCCATGACAGGCGTTTATAAATTATACGGTGTGAAACATCAAATATACATTATATTATCATTGTACAATAATATAATATATTGACAATTTATCACATTATTAATTATTATCATATCATATAGGTATATGATATGATAAATGAATAGATATTTAAATACTAACATTGCATCACATATTTATTCTGTGTGTATAAATAGTCAAATGTAAGATTATAATGTGAATATTAAAAATAAATCATGTTCATCATACCTATTTAATCTTAGTATTGAATAATTTACAGTTAAGAACCTAAATCGTAAGATTTTATGACTCTCTGGCTGCTATTATAGCTTTTACAGGACATCACAAGGGTTGAATACGTACCTATATTATATTATTTATATTATACTATACCAGTATTATGTTATCATAAAATGTACAAATGTATAGTCTACAACATAATTTTTCATATTTTTCTAACCAATCATTCTATTGAATACGTGTATAATAGAAATATTTAACAGAAAGTATAAAAAAAGTTTATTTGAATAGCTGAATAAAGTGCAATAGAAAATTATTCTTTTAAATTTTGATTTTTGTTTTTGCTGTACGACTTTAAAATACATTTATACTGTTTATTATAGAACATTATAAGCTATACATTTTTACGATAATACAACGATATTTACATTAATGTAAGTATCATTTTTATCTACCTAAATATAATATCAGTATATTACAAAGTATTAAATCTTAACTCATACTATGTAGATATGACTAGTAAATTAGTTATTATAAATCATAAATGGGTTGCAATTATTTGGTATCCATCCATGAAATTAAATAATTTAATATAGCTACCATTAAACTCATATAATAAGTATTAATAATTAAGTTCTGACGATTTAAATATTTAAATAACTTAATCTCTTAAAAGGACGCCAGGCGTCCTTTTCTATTCAATTTATTTCTTAAGACTTAAAACCCGTTTTGATCGGGAAAAAATCACCTGGGCAATATTTCTAGATAAAAAACGATAAAAAACGATAAAAATAATAAAACTTTGTCTATTTTTCCATATTACCTTCACAAAAAAAAATCCAAATTTAAAAAAAACTTTCCCACAAGAGTGTTATTAAAAAAAGAAAAACTATATGTATGAAAAAAGACRCTCTGTTATTTTTATGATGGAAATTTGATTTCTTAATATTATTGCTGTAACAACCTTTTCAGTTCTTTTATTTYCACGTAAAATTGTTTTCGCCATTAACTATCATTATGATTTGGTAATTATATGTATGTAACAACCGAAACTGTTACTAATTTTGGACCTCTTGTAAATAATTAACTGCACAGGTATTTAAATGTWTTCAAATAATTTTCAGGAATTGCATATAATTTCCTATTTTGATATCCCTTAAAAAGAGATAGAATAGGGTCCTTTTTGGATTATTAAATTTCACCTAGTTTATTGTTATATCTTTCACGATGTTCCACGTATATAAGTATATTATTAATTTAAAACAAACTAAACGTACCTGTTTAAACTTTTGAACATTTTYCCCAGGTAATATATTAAGACATAATAATATGAATTATGGACATGACATCGTAAAGTGCACATAATGAAAATCGTTATAACCATCATTAAACTTACAGTGCCATGATAACAGTAATTTACCAGCTTATATATATAACGGTATTCCAAACATTATAAGATATTCATTTAATTTAAGTTGTACGCGTATAATACGCAATGCAGCATATAATGTATATACATATATCGTAGGGACTTGGGCTATMAGTACCTACATTCTTCATAAGGAAATTAAAAATTTTTAWATCGTCTTATTTTGTATCTGAATCAATATATAATAACAATGCCTATACGTACCTTAGTACCTACATAGTATGTCGAAATACAAATCCGTTAATATTTTATACAGATCGGAAACAACTATTGTTCACAAGAATTTGCCTTGTGTATGTTACAGCAGGTAACACATGGAACTGTATTAAACCGTTTGCCTAAACAAACATTAAGTTCTGCAGTAATATATTTATAGTTACCAAAATGTCCATGGATTTATAAAAATATGTAGACTGCGCGTTTCCCATACCTTGGTGTGCGTCACCAAGAGCTTTCATCATCGTTAAAAATAAAAAGTTTATACTCAGAATACACACTACACAGGATGTAATCATGAGACCTAAATTAAAGCCATATTTTTCTAAGAATATTATCATCTTTTCTTTACTTTTTTTTCTCAATATTAAAGACTATATACATGATCTTGAGTTGTACCTATTCTTTAGGTTTTTAACAATGTTGGTTCCCGAACTTCACTCCCCCCCATTCTATCTCACAATGTAAGTTATCGATTATCAGTTGGAATCAAATGGAAAATCTACCAATACGACCTAAATCGCTATTGGTACGATATATAGCATTATATCGCAACTATATTATCTAATAATATGATACAAGATATCAAATTCTTGCGGACAGATTTTGAGCAAAAATCACGTACCTAAATGCTTAGTAATAACACAATAAGTTTTCGTGGAAAAATTAAATATTATAACTTTAATACACCACAATCCACAACGATAAATTAGGTCAATAAACGTATCAATTGTTATTTCGATAACATTACCGATACTTTGCTTGACATATTGTAATTAAATGCGATCGCGATGTACCTGCAACGGCTGCAGCTGCAGCTGCGGCGGCAGTTATTCCGGCGATCAGCGCCCGGTGATGGTCCGACGGCGAGGGCGGTGTGCGTGCATGTGGTGATTTCGGTGTCGCGCCCGACGATCGGCGGTCGTCGTCGTCGTCAATTTCTTCGTCTTCAATGTCGTCGTCGTCGTTGTTGTTGTTATTATTGTTGTGGTTGCTACGAACGTGAAGTCCAACGGCGGTTTGGCGCGGCTGCAGGAGCGTCATCGGTGCAGGCGATCCAGGAGGCGATCTCGAGTCGTCCGGGTCGATCACCGGCGACAGCGAAGACGCTCGCGAGTCCATCGGCGGTGGCCCCGGGCAACAGATACCGCGACTACGGTGCGTTGTGATGCAGTGCGCGACGGCGACAACGGTCTATAATGTTATACGGTCTGTGCTGAGCCAAGTAACGGCGCGGCCGCGGCGTGCAGCAGCATAGAGCGGGCGACGACAACGCGAATCTCTTCAACTGGTCCATACGACGGCGGCGGTGGTAACGCGTTATCACTCGATTACACGGCGATTGCGCGCACCATTTCCACCCCGTGCACCCTCATCACCGTTATCGACACTCAATCGGAATATAATGTTTATGTGTGCATGAATGTGTATGTGCGCGCGCGCGCTCCCACCGCGGCATGTACCTCTATACATATATATATATATATATATAATATAGATTTATATGTATAAAATAGAAAATACATATACAGAGACAGAGATTCCCTATTTAAATATATATATATATATATGTATATTGTAAGTATATACAAATGTTCGCTTAATGTGTATATATATGTATATATACATATTATATGTTGTATAATGTGCGTGCGACGCGCCAAACGTCCGTCCCCTAACCACTCGTGGTTGCCGGGGTGACGATCGCGCAGGGGGTGGTCGGGATATTTTCCCCCGTCGGGGGGCCGTACGATTTAACGGACTGCCATTGGGCGTATGGGCGGCGCTCGCTCCGGCGGTTTATTTATTAAGTGCGATGCGGATCGGAGGGGCCCAATTCATTATCGACAAATGATCGCGGGCCCACCGCCGCCGCCTCAGCCCACACTGTATATATACCGGTAACGCCACCACCGACGCCGCGCCGGCCCGACCGTGTCGGGACCAAACGAATTTGTCACTCTCGCTCTTTTTACACCGCGCACCACATGCACATCACCGCACACGCACGCTTTTACACCGCCGCCGATTACACAGCTTTATTGTACGTACCTACACACATATAATATACACACATATGCGTAACTTACACGCACATTTACAACGATATATTACTATGCGCTTTGCCGGCGAGTGCAAGATGCGGACAAGACGTAAAGTCGTCGGCCTAACGATATGTATATATTATTTTATATCCGGTGTGTGCGCGCGACAAGACCTCTTCCGAGCAACCGACCGCATCCGGAAGGTCCCGCGAGGTTCACGCGCCAGCGCTGTGCGATATGTACAGCACGGCGGCGGTGATTGATGTACGTCCACCAAATAACATTGTTCGATTTCGATACGGCCATTTCGACGATTGCGACTGAAATAAATTTGTGCGACAAATAACCTTCTCCCTCACACACACACACCCATGTCCTACTATACTCTTTCACGAGATAACGTATTTTACATATTATTATTATTTTAATGTAATATTCACATTTTTCAAACCATCATCGCGATTTGTTTTCTCGCACCGCCGGGATAATGAACTATAATAAGTTCTCAATAATATAGGTGTATGGTGCAAACATTCCTGTGTGTATTGACCTGCAGTTTGAGCTAGCGAATTTTTAGACAAAGCATCGCTATTTAGTTTTACTCTAGTTTCACTGGATACTCAATAGATAAATTTTTTAACTTTCAGTGACTCATTGGACGAGGTAGATAATTCATATATATATATATATTAGTACTTAAAAAAACTACCTACATAATTATACCTAAGAATCCTGTAGTGATCAATATCTAATCTAGACTAGATAAATCTTTTAAGTAAATAAATGCATTAGGTATTTCATATTGTAATTTACAAGTATACTTCTTAAACTATATTAGGTATATACTTGCATGCAGTTATCGCTTTAGGAAAATTGTTCTTTTTACGAAAATCCAGGCTATATCTGTGATTGGCTTTCTTGTTTTTTTTTTTTTATTTCATTCAATTTGACTTTCAACTGATTTATGGTAATTTGGATAAAGACCTATAACTGTAGATAGATCTTTTGGAAATAAATTATATAAAAGACAATAAATAGAAACTTCAATTATTATAAAAATTATTTTATATTGATACTTTAAGTAAATCACGCATCTGACGTATCAACCTTTATAAATCTCGATTTTTTTTTTTTATAATTTTCTAGGTAATTTAAATAAATAGGATTTTTCTTCTTCTTCCAGCCTTAAGAAAATGTTACTACTCATTTATTTTTCCAAGAATTTCCAATAAGACTTCTGAAAATATTATGAAATACGTATAATGAATATAAATTTATCAGTTTATAATACTTTTATTTCACAGATTATATTGAAAATAATAAAATGTTTGGATAAGAATAAAAAAAATATACATATAAATATATAATAATATTATAGGTATTGCAGAAAATAGCTAGCATGCGTAATGTAATATAATACTGTTTGTTTTGAGACTTGAATACTTTGCATTTTAAGATTTTAACGACAGAAATGGTACACCGTTGATTTATACTGTATAATATATTATTCTAGTATTTACAATCAATGGTTTTACTAAATAAGTAATAGCTAAATATTGTATATTGTTTAATACATTTTATTTTAATATATACAAACTACGAAGTATTTGGTAGGTGGTAAGTATATAATACAAAATATATACTTCGTGTAATCGTGTTAACCTATATTGATTTCTATATTTTCATAATTCATTTAGCAGGTTCATTAAATTATTTTAACTTCGACATTATAATAATATTATACAAAAGTGGAATTCGTTTGGATAACGATCATAAGATAAACAAAACAGTTTGAACGCCGAATCATCCGAAACTGCGACCCAATTAACTGCGTAGCTGTTGACACGCTGTGCCAACTAAATTTACTTGCAAATACGGCTAAATTTGTATAATTAAATTTATATACATACCGCACATAGGCTAATTGCGTGTTCGTAATTTCAAAAAGGCATTTACGTGCTTCGAAAAATATCACGCACTAATGAATAAGTAACGGTTTATCGATAAATTTGTCAATTGTTTGGTCTTCCCTATTTTCACAACACAATTTTGTAAAAAAAAGTATTTTAGTTCAATTAGTAATGTAACATAATATAACGTATGTATATAATGTATGCTTACATTATACACTAATACGCATCTGTAATGCGTGGAGTACATTGTTTATGAAATAAATTGTAAAAGGATATATTTATGAATATTAAATGTTAATTAACAGAAAATTAATTTTAAACAGTTTTAATTGACTCTTAAGTATATTTATAAGAATGATATTATTATATTATTATTATGTATAACATAATACATTAATACGTACATAGTTCACATATTATTTGGTATTACATTACCTATACATAGGTTCGTCGATACCTATTTATTAAATACCTATTGTTCAATACACATTTTAAAAATAAAAATGTTAACTCTAATAAACTATAGTAGGTATCTAATCTAAATACCTAATCCATTTATGAGAAAAACACTCCCCCTTAAAACAGTTATACCCCATTTATGATAAATATGAAAATACGAACAAGTTTTGAGTACATAAATGGAATTTGATAAACTCATTTGGATGGGCTGAGCCTTAATTCTATTTTTAAATTGAAGTTTTATATTATCTAAGTCAGTGGTTTCAAAAATTTGACCTTCGAAACCCTTTCAGAGTAATCCGAAATGAACACTTATTGTTTAAATAATAATAATAATAATAATAATAATAATAATAATATATTATTGATTAATATTATTTTGATTACATACAAAACGACTTAGAAATTTTTATGTGAGTTCAACAATTTTGAAATTTTTGATGTTGGTACTTTTACTTATAGACGTTCACTTTTTTATCAAATGTATGGCATTCATATATATGCAAATGGATTTTATATACCACTTGAATCATTTGAATGTTATCGAGCTATGTGGAACTTAATTTTCCAATTATGTACAGATAAAATACAAAACAATTTTACACCATTATCAAATCGTTTAGATTTTGAAATCGCAGCACATAAAGCATTTATAAATGTATTTCCATACAGCAAAATAAAAGCCTGTAGATTCCATTTAGGTCAGTCTTGGAACCGAAAGATAAATTCTTTGTTAGATATTAGATCTTAAAAAATTTCACAAGAATCAGTCATGTAATATCGCTAAATAGTTAACATTATTTTTTGGGTTACCATTTTTACCGTCAAATGGAGTGGAAGATGCTTTTTGATTTACAAAATTTAACTCCAGATTTTAATTTGGCGTATCTATCCGAATTTTTTGATTATATATTGAATAATTATATCATCATTGAAGGATGTCCATTTCTACCATCAATTTGGGCTGAACCTCCAACTGACGCACCTCGAACTACAAAATGGCGCTGAATCATTTCACAAACACTTTAACTCTCAATTTTATTCACCTCATCCTCCATTAGTGCTATTGAAAATTTAATATTAATACAAGTGGAATCATATTTAAAAATAAATGAAATCAAGAAGGGTAAAAWAAAACTGAGACGTAAAAACGAAAAAGAACAAATACAATTTACTTATGAAACGTGTAATGAGTACAAACGAAAGCATTTAAATAGAGTAGAACACTTAAAAAAATTTCTTATAAATTTCGGTGATTCGATTAAAAACTGTTTTATTATTATAAAATTTATTTATTATTATAGGTAATTAATTTTTGTATTATTAACATTCTTATTATTGACTAATGTGTATCATTAATTTTGATTTATATTATTTTGAAAATGATAACTTTTTTCTGATTTACCTATTTTAAATGATCAATAACTGATTTTAAATTATATTATATTTATATTATATTAAATATTATCAATAACTGATTTTAAACGATAACTGACGGCAACGTTGCATGCTAAATGGGCGCATTTGGGCTATAAATCAGGGTGTTAAGTTTTTTATTTTGGGCGCAAATGTCTATAACCCTAGGGRCGTAAATGGGCTACTCTGGGGTGCAAATAGACTACAGCCTATAAGATATATCGCAATTTTATTATTATTTCAACGTTTAAAATGATCAAACAAATTCGTCATCTTCATCGTATTTGTCTATTGACATGCTACTAATAAATTATAATTTAAAATTATATATAAACCTAATTTCATTTCAGTTTCAKTAAAACAATAAAATGCCTACTGCATACCCCGGCTTGGATCAAGGGGTAGTTAACATAAGCCCACGCCGAGGGTG